TTAAGTTTATTATACTTTATATGTGATCCTTTGTGCTAACTCTTTTATCAAGATTAGTATGTTCCACCATCAGTAAAACTCCTCCTTATGCTTATAAAACATTGTTTGCCTACCTGTTATTATATTAGCATAATGTGCTTCCTTACTCAAGTAATACTTTAGATAGACTTTTGGCCATATGTCCAACCAGAATACAATTTATGGTGTTGAGTGAACATTGACTTAAAATAGACCTTTGGTGAGTTGAAGCAAAACATGCAGCGTTAAAGTTATATTCCTGTAACTGGTAAAATATTTGTTTTAGTTAAACATCTGTAAAGCCACCTTTTTCAATGGTGAAACATTTCTGCAACAGGACTTCCAGGAGATGCTGAAACTCGCCATCACAGACACTGGCAAAAGGTGCTGCGGCTGGTGTCCAGACTTCAACTTAGTACACTTCCATTTGCTCTTCCACGTCGAGGTACGATTCTAGGTGGCACAATGGAGTTGTCCGGAAACAACATCTCTTTGGCATGCTTCCATGGAATAAACTTCCGTTCAAAAGCATGGGCCATTTTCAGCTTAAAGGAACCCACTGTGACCTTTGCAACTGAAGCCCAAGATGTGAATAATGATGATGGTAATAATGACTCAGTAATTATGAACTTTATTTTGTGACTTATTTGAAATGAAAATATTTTATTCTGACACTATATCTTACCTCCCCCTCACAAAAACTGTCTCGATAAGTACTGCCCTCTATCTATGCCATTTTTTTGCTTGCTACTAGCCTTGTATCCCCCACTTCTTTCCACATGTCTGCTTGCAAATGATCATGCAGCAACCCTTTGCCAATAGGAATGGACATTACCCCTATCTTAGCTAGTGCCTTCTCTAATAATGCATCTTGTTAACTCTGAACACGGGCTTGGTCGATTTGATCAACCATGTGACCTCTTTTTACTCGATTAAAGTCTTTATAGATTTTATACTACTAACTTTTAATATAGTATGTATATCTTCACAAAATTTGGCAATCTTTAAGTAAACATTATAAGGCTTTCACATACAAAAATTGTTGATGACTATATTGAGCATTTGTTTTGAATAGTCCTTGTGCAAAGTGATTTTCATTTTAAGATTAAAAATACTTTTCTTCATCTCAGAAATCTCAAATCTCATTTGTATAGTCTCTAAGACCTCCAAATTAATTTCAGAAGTTTGTTTTCAGTAAAACTTTATATTTTATCTGTTATATTTTCTACTCTAACTCCATATGGGTTTGGTCAATTTGACCGATCTCGTAACCACCAAAAAAAATCGAAATAAATGTAAATTACCCTTTTTTTTCTTTCTAGAATGACTTCAAATTGTAACATGAAACTGCATCTATTTATAATTAAATGTTATTGTTTTATTGCCCTTTGAACTGTGGCTAACTAATATTCGCACTATTATAAATTGTAAATATCTTGGGGAAAGTGCAGCTCACGTTACATTATTGAATTATCTTACCCGTGAGCTGCTCACATGCGTGCCTCATGAAGCATTATTATTATTAATTTTACCTAATCTAACCTTAATTAACCTAAAGAGATCACTATTTTTACATTTTAATTACTATTATAATAAATAAAGAATAAATATGAAAAACAAGAAATAAAGTACTTATCTGAGTATTCTTTTTTTTGCTGTCGATGACACTTAACCCTACTTTTTCTATACTAATGGTAGTTGTGTATTAAATCATTTTTATTTAATTAAATAATGCACCAAAGAACATAGAATAATAACATACAAAAAGCAGACAATTTCCTCTAACAATCACAATTTGTCTGGCTTTTTAACTATATGAAAAGAGCCTTTACAAATTCAACCAAGCTATTCTTTACCTTTCCCATGGGAATGAAACCTGTATTACAAGTGAAATTGATGATTATCTGTTCAGAACACAACGTAATGTAATACGTCATTTGATAGATGAAAACCTTGACTTTCTATTGGTTATAGATTATGTATAATGAAATGTAAGAGAGAACTATTAACAAATCCTGAGGATGTGACAGGTAGGTGTGGCAAAAGGGGTCTGATTTTCTGTTTGATAGCTCTGTAACCAAACAAAATTGAAGGCTATAAAAATTATGGTTTGTCTGAGCAATGAAGATTTTAATTTTGAGTATTTTCTAGTTTAGTCACTGCCATTTTTTCCCTTTTATTTGTGGAGAGTTAAGATTTAAATTTCATTATCTACTCTTCCTTTTCTAATTTGTGTTCATTTTTTCGACTTTGTGAATTTTGCATCCACAGTTTTGGGTGGTCACGACTATTACAGTGGATTTCCCAACAATAATTCAGTTGTCAGTTACAGACATGACGACTATGAGCCGTAGGGAATTTCTGCAACATTCTGTATAACCCGATGAGTAGCCTAGGTGTGTCTAAGCAGATGGGATGTGAATTAGGGCAGATTGTTTTACCCCTCCTGAATATGCTTTTCCATTGTCTCATTTCCAAGGGTCTTACCTAGGCCTCCTCCTCCCTTTGTGGCCTTGACTACTCAGGTATGCTATTTTTTGTCTTTGTCTCCTGTTTCCTTGAATTTTACCCATTCTCTCATAGTGGATTAATTTTCAAGTCATTCATTGTTTTTTCTTCCTGGTATTTGTGTTCATTGTTTTGGGGTACATTTGCATTCAGGGGTCAGTGTGCCATGTCACCCAAGTATATTGGCTATCATGTTTTTGCTTTTCTTGTTTTCCCTACTATAATTCAACTCACACCTTTTGGATGTTTTTTTTTTTCCAGTGTGTGGTTCAGACCTCGATACTTTGGTTGTTTTTACATTCCTCAGAACTTTCCTGTTCTCTTCTTCTGTTATCCATTGTTATCTGTCCATTATCCTCCCCTCACTTTTTGGTTGGGGCAATTCTACATTTTCGTTATTTGTTTTGTGTTGGTCATAGCAGTCTTCATTTTGCTGCCATACCATTCATTTTCTCTTCGGGCCTCACTTCACAGATGTGGCTGCTCTGATATTGGGTTCTTCTAGGCTGGGACCCTGTTTTCTTTAGAGTTTGCTTACCCTTCTTTTCATTGCATATATTGTGCATGGCACCTTTGTTTCTGTCTGGAAGTGTTAGGGGATATTCCCATCTATATTGTGACCAGGGTTGTTTCAGCAAGTCTCCATAACTCCATTTCCATTAGTCCCCCTGCTATCTCACCATCCACTATATTTCACTCCTCAGTGGGATCCTTTTTCTTACCAGCTTCATCTGGAGGTGGCTTGAGACTTACTTCTTCAGTGTGCCTTCTATGAGGAGATCATTCTCCTTCAGGGTTTTTACTCCTGATTTGTGGTCTCCATATTTCCGTCACTCTAGCATCCAGACATTTTCTTCGTTTTGTTCCTCGTGGATGTGTGTTTTCAGTTTAGGGTGTTATGGTCGGCCTTACCTCGACTTTCTATGTGTTCTGCCAACTGGTCTAAATATTTGCTTATTTCTCTGGGCCTTAGTGTACACTTTTCGAGGGATGGTTGACTACTTATAGCTTCCTCACTGACCAATTCTTCCCTCCATACTCAGTTTCTTCTTTGGGAAGCTGCCTGGTTGGGTTGACTTATCACAACAGGGAATTCTCTCCTGATCAATTTCTGGTTTTCTTGGTGTGTTTTACATCTCAATTCTTCATAGGGACCATCCTTCTCCCCATTGGATTTAGATCTCTGGTACTTCCTTTAGGCGGTATCTCATCTTCTCCCTTTCCTTCTTGCACGTGTGGTTCTATCTCTTTTGGGGACATGGGCTTCTCTCACAGCCTTCATTGTTCTTGGTTGTGCCATCCTCTGTTGGTTTTTCATTGCTTTATGCTGCCTTGTTCAGGATCCCTTGGATACTCCTCTTATCCTTTCTCCTCACTAACATTTCAAATTGAATGAATGTTGGTTCAATAGGACCACTTTTTTCTAATGGGGTTCCTCTTCCTTCTCCTCATCTGGATTGTAATCTTTTTACAGATACTTCTCTTTCCAATTGGAGAATAGATCTTGAAATTCAGGGGATTTAGGTGTGGGAAACTTTTTATAATCTGCTCTCCATATCTTTCTCTTGACACTTTTAGCTGTCTGTCAAACAGTATTTTCCTTCCTCTTGGGTCTTGGGGACAAGGTGGTGATGTTTCACTCCAACAATTCTATGGTAGGGTCCAACATAACCATGCATAGGGCTATGTGTTCTTTGTTTTCTAACTTTGGATCTTTTATATTTTGGGCTCACTGTCATTATATTGATTTGTGGGCAAGTCATCATCCTGGGGCCAAGGATCTGGTCATGGATCAGTTATCCCATCCCAACAGGATTCTTCTGATGGGGTAGTCTGTAGATATTCTCGTTTTTCAGGTTTAGTGTTTGCTTTGGGGTGTATCCAATTTGTACACTTTTGCAACTCATCTAGATACACACCTTACTCAATTTTGTTCTTGTGTTCCGCATTCATTGGCAGGTGCATTGGTTGCTCTCAGTAGGGATTGGACATGTCATTCCCCCACACATATCTGCCTATTTGTCATCTTCCTCATGTCCTATCAATAGTTCAGTGCTCTTCGTCTCTTTCATCAGTCCCATTCCAAAGTGCATCATCCATCCTTTCTGGCATTCTGTTTTCACGTGTGGCTTTTATCCAGTCCCTTGCCGGAAGGTCTGAATTTTCCAGGCAAGTCATTTCCTTCCTTGGTTTTCTGTCCAGTTCATCCTTCTTCTTTGACAGTTTCTAAGAGTTGGTGATATAAATAACATTGTTGGTACATCTAGGTTATCATTCTTCCCTTACTCCCATTCCTCTCACTTGTCTTTTTTTGACAGATACCTATATCTTTCCTCTGCTGACAGGTTATTGAGTGGTTTTGTCTTCAGTATTCGGTTTACCAGATTTGCTTCTGTGTTCCAATCTCATTTACTGTATGTTATTTTCATTCATTCTCCTTGCTCGTCCTTCCTGCCCAGTGTCTCTCCAGGATTGGAACCTCCATGTTGTCTTTCATTTCCTCTGTTTGAACCTTTGTTGTTTTATTTTTCTTTGCTGTCCCTGTTCCTCATATTGTTGGCCTATGGTCACCGTTTTTCCGACATGTTGTAATCAGGTTCAGTTAGGTTTGTTTCTTAGTTCCTGTTCATTCCTTTATGCAAAAGACTTCAGCTGTTATGGAGATTAATTATGTTTTCTTTCCTCTTTCCCTTCCCCCTTTCTCCCACCTTTAGGTCCATTCTGCTCCTGACCAACTCCTTTGCCCTGCCAGAGCCTTTAGATGGTACATGTCATGCATTGCATTCTTCTGTAGTTCCAAGGTCTGTTTCTTCATTGGCATCCTACCCTTTCTCATGATTTTTTTTCCCTGATCTCCTTACAGTTGGATCCACCAGTCACTTTGCCTAGCATATTCTTCCTTTTATCTGGATGTTTCTCTTGTCTTTTTTTTTCTACATCAGATCCATCATCTTACCATGTCCCTAGCTGCCCTTTTGACATTTTTCCTGAGAGGACATCATCAGGGTAGGTATATGGGCTACTTCGTTTGTTTTTAGTTTTCATTACAGAGGCTTTTTCCTACATATATTATGGATCCCACTCTGTGGCATGTGGTGCCTGACCAGGTATACTTATTCTCAAATCTGACTGTACATCCTGTGACCATGCTTGATGATTAAAACATTGAGGCACTTCTTACCACAGACCTGACGTACAATTCCAGATGTTGCCAGGTGTTGGTTGTAGCACTCCACCATATCTGTATATATATTGCAGCTTGCCCCTCCGGCTGAGACATTCCTCCTTCCTACCACCCTCCAGGTGTTGGTTGCAGATGGTCCAGCCACATAAGCCCTGGTTCTCTTCTCCTACCACAGACTGGACGATAAATTCCCAATGCTGCCAGGTTTTGAACTGGAAATGCTACCCCATATTGAGGTCCCTCTTTATATTCCTACGTTCCACAGGAGGTTGATTCCTGTTGGATCTTGTGTTATTTATAGTTAAATGAAACATGTTTACCCACATATGTAAGATAGATTTCCTAATATAGACTGGAACTAACATTCCCATTGGCTCCAGGTTTAGGACTAGAGATGAATGCCTTCCAAGTTCTTTTTTCCTACAATCTGCTGGATATCAGTTCCCAGTGAATCCACTGTTGGCAGTGGGCTCATGCAGAGTCGGGTTCATGGTACAGACACTCATTTTCCTATCAGTACCCATTTTTAAGGTAAAAGGTAGAGTACCCTCTTCCTAATATGGACCTGATGTACAATTCCAGATGCTGCCAGGTGTTGGTTGAGGTCAAACTCTCATTTTTAAGGTAAAAGGTAGAGTACCCTCTTCCTATTATGGACCTGATGTACAATTCCAGATGCTGCCAGGTGTTGGTTGAGGTCAAACTCTCAATTATAGTTTGTCACACCCTAGCTGCACAACACCTGGGGTTCCTTTTACTGCTGATAACATTTTAGGGACCCTCCATGTTTCCACCCTTTATTCTTGGTAACACATTACTGAAGGATGAAGAGTATACCTAGTTCAGATGTGGTTGGGTCTCCCACTGGTGTGTTGTTTTAATTCCTTACCACACCTCATGGGCACTTTCTCAAGGAGGAACATATCAGTTCAATGTGGGATTTTTGTTTTTTGTAAGAAGAGGTAAGATATCATATCAGAAGATGATATTTTCCTAAACTGAAGATATATTTCCAATAGATACTTATTGGTTGACTTGGTCATGGCCAGTCTTGAAGTGATTAACAGATGCTTTATTAGAGAGGGCACTAGTTACAAAAGAACTACTGTCGCACTCCTATTGGTGAAAGGTTGCTGAATGACCACTTGCATGTAGATATACAAAAAGAAGTGTGAGTTACAAGGCTAGTGCCGAGAAAAACTTTGCACCAATAGAGGGCAGTACTAATCGAGAAAGCTTTTTTGTGAGAGGGAGGTATCTATCAAAAATATGTTTTCAGTTTTGGAAAATGTGTGAAATTCTTTGGGATATAAATATTTCGTCTAGTTATAATATACAAGCTCATTCACTAAACATTGTTTTATAGTATTAATATTTATAGATTATTAGATGTCGTTGTGTTATACAACTTCATTCAGTAGACATTGTTGTTTTGTAGTATTGATATTTGTAGATTACTTGGTGTAGTTGTGTTACATAACTGCACCAGTAGACATTGTTTTTCAATAGTATTGACATTTGTAGGTTATTTGGTGCAGTTGTGTTACATAACTGCACCAGTAGATATTGTTCTCTTATAGTATTGATATTTATAGATTATTTGGTGTGGTTGTGTTATACAAAGTCAGCCAGTAGACATTGTTGTTTTATGGTATTGATATTTATAGATTATATGGTGTAGTTGTGTTATACAAAGCCAGTCAGAGATGTTGTTTTATAGTAGTGATATTTATAGATTATTTGATGTAGTTGTTATATAAGTTCAGGCAATAGACATTGTTGTTTCATAATATTGATATTTATAGATTATATGGTGTAGTTGTGTTATACAAGTTCAGACAGTAAATTTTGTTTTGTGGTATTGATATTTGTTTATTACTTGGTGCAGTTGTGTTATACAAGTTCAGCCAGTAGAAATTGTTGTTTTATATTATTGATATTTGTTTATTATTATGTTTTGTAGTTATGCTTACATGTTTGGCTAATAGATGTCACTGCATGCTGTTTTGTTCAAATAACATGAGCACTAAATAAATTGTTAGGCCTAGGAAGGTTTTTGTTTATATATAACATTATTGTTGGTATTCTAATAAAAAAACAAGTGTTGTGATGTGCCAGCAATTTTCCATTCTGTTTTTTAATATGAATATTTGGTGTTTATGTTCCGTACATATTTTGTACAAATTCAGCTAATAGACATTCCTTTCTGTTATTGTAAGTCTGAATGAATTATGATTGTACGACATACTGCAAGCTAACTCAGGAAAAAAATAAGATTTTCTATAAAACTCAGTGAGTGGTTCAATATACAACAATAAAAATCATAGTGTTGGCTTAGTGTGTGTATGTTTCAAAGGTTATGCAGTAAGAGAGAGGTGTGAATTTGTTACTTTTAATTAATATCTTAAAAATATGTAGAAGCTGAGCAAACATATTCCTAATATTGTTGGAGTTTTTCATGACTATTAAGAATTTGTTGCATTTTTGTATAATTAGCAAAAGTCTGTTGTAGTTTTCCATAATTAAGAAAGATATTTTTGTTTTGTATGATTAGGAAAATCTGTGTGTTGTACAGTAGGAAGAATCTGTTGCAAATCATAGGTGGCGTTCTAACTTTAAAACTCAATCTGCAATACTTTAGAAGGTTTTTCTATGAATGACGTTTTCCAGGCACAGTAGCAACCCACATTGTCCAAAACCTGTCCTTCACTTTAGGCCACAGTGGAACAGAGTCAGCTCACCACATCAGTATGGCCACTGTTTGCAGGATCTCACGTAACGTGTTATTCCCACCTCAGTTTCGCAGTATGAACGAATGGTTCCATTATGCTTTTGCCACCAGTGAAATTGACGGTAAGTTAGATCTGCTTTTTATACACATCCTATAGTGTCTCATTGTTATTCCTTGAACTCAACTGTTTGTAACATCCTCCTACACAGCCTATAGTGTCATGTTGTTATTCCTTGAAGTCCTCTAAGTCTTCAGCAGTTCAAAATGTTTAAAGTCTCTTTCATTTCAGTTGATCTCTTCTTGAAAGGCATAATTAACAGATGGCATCTTTCTAGGAAATTTATAAACAGCTCTTGAAACTACTTGTGCAGAACTTCCTCATAAAGATTTCTGTTAACACTTTGAAATATCATCCAAAAACTTCCTAGACATATGCCATCCATATCATTCAAAAACTTCCTAGGCATACACCATCCATATCATCCAAAACCTTCCTAGGCATACACCATTCATATCATCCAAAAACTTCCTAGGCATATGCCATCCATATCATCCAAAACCTTCCTAGGCATATGCCATCCATATCATCCAAAAACTTCCTCAACATATGCCATCCACATCATCCAAAAACTTCCTAGACATACACCATCTATATCATCGAAACGCTTCCTAGACATACACCATCCACATAATCCAAAACTTTCTAGACATACACCATCCACATAACCCAAAACTTCCTAGATATATGCCATCCATATCATCCAAAACCTTCCTAGGCATATGCCATCCATATCATCCAAAAACTTCCTAGGCATACACCATCCATATCATCCAAAACCTTCCTAGGCATATGCCATCCACATCATCCTAAAACTTCCTCAACATATGCCATCCATATCATCCAAAATTTTCCTAGGCATATGCCATCCATATCATCCAAAACCTTCCTAGGCATATTCCATCCATATCATCCAAAACCTTCCTAGGCATATGCCATCCACATCACCCAAAACTTCCTAGACATATAACATCTATATCATCGAAAAACTTCCAACATATGCCATCCACATCATCCAAAATCTTCCTAGGCATATGCCATCCACATCACCCAAAAACTTCCTAGACATATGCCATCCATATCATCCAAAAACATCCTAGACATATGCCATCCATATCATCCAAAAACATCCTAGACATATGCCATCCATATCATCCAAAAACTTCCTAGACATATGCCATCCATATCATCCAAAAACATCCTAGACATATATCATCCATTAATAAGTAACTTTCCTCTGAGTAAAACTTCTACCAAGCAATAAGTCTTGATAATAACTGGGGCATTGGCCAGTGTGTTATATACATTTGTATTTTATTTAGATGTGGGCAGGTTTCCTGTTCTTGAACATGATCGAGATGGAGGAGAACGTCGCTCTTCCTTCAGCTTACCTTCCAAGTCTCCCGAGTTTAACCATAACATGGAAGTCATTTTTGCTCTTCCAAGTCTACAGTTTCATTTAAAAACGGAACACCTGCAAGGCGAACAAACTCCAACTTTAGTTGGTACGTTACATCTATCTTCATTTCAGTGTAGTTTCTACAGACAAATACACTGCTTTCAGGATATAAATGTAACTTACTCTTGATAGCACTTTCTTTTTTCTCAAAATAGAAAACTTGAGGTTAGTTATAAACAAAACCTGATATCAAAGGTTTAAAGTGAGCTCAATTTCACCAGATATATTTAAAATCACAAGTTTAATTCAGGAGAGTTTGATGTACCTTCCATGAAATACAGAACCTAAGCCAGTAGTGAAATGCAGTCTAGTAACAATTTTATATATGAACATTTTGTTCAGAACTTAAGCAACTAGTAGGCAACAGTTTTGTAACATAACTATGTATAAACTCTTTCTAGATCCTAAGCCAATAGTGGACTGCAGTTTTGTAACAGAGTTTGATGATCACATATACGTAGCTGTGGATGCAGAAGCATTCTTCTTTCTTCATGATGTCATAACCAGCTACATCAAAGAGAAGGATAGTAAGTTAAAACAGTTGTTCTTTTACATATTACTCTTTGAAGGGTTGTGTTTTACCAAATCTTCTTTCTTCATCATGATATAACCAGCTACATCAAAGATAAGTATATTAAATTAAACCAGTTGTTCTTGCACACAGGACAGTGTTTATATTGAGTTAAAACAGTTGTTCTTGTACACAGGACAGTGTTTATATTGAGTTAAAACAGTTGTTCTTGTACACAGGTTAGTGTTTATAGTAAGATAAAATAGTTGTTCTTGTATAGATTGGTGTTTATAGTAAATTAAAACAGTTGTTCTTTTACAGGGTAGTGTGTATAGTAAGATAAAATAGTTGTTCTTGTACACAGGGTAGTGTTTATAGTAAGTTGAAACAGTTGTTCGTGTACACAGGTTAGTGTTTATAGTAAGTTGAAACAGTTGTTCGTGTACACAGGTTAGTGTTTATAGTAAGATAAAATAGTTGTTGTACACAGGTTAGTGTTTATAGTAAGTTAAAACAGTTGTTCTTGTACACAGGGTAGTGTTTATAGTAAGTTAAAACAGTTGTTCTTGTACACAGGTTAGTGTTTATAGTAAGATAAATAGTTGTTCTTGTACACAGGGTAGTGTTTATAGTAAGTTGAAACAGTTGTTCGTGTACACAGGTTAGTGTTTATAGTAAGATAAAATAGTTGTTCTTGTACACAGGGTAGTGTTTATAGTAAGTTGAAACAGTTGTTCGTGTACACAGGTTAGTGTTTATAGTAAGATAAAATAGTTGTTCTTGTACACAGGGTAGTGTTTATAGTAAGTTGAAACAGTTGTTCTTGTACACAGGTTAGTGTTTATATTAAGTTAAAACAGATGTTCTTGTACAGATCAGTGTTTATATTAAGTTAAAAAAGTTGTTCTTGTACACAGGGTAGTGTTTATATTAAGTTAAAACAGTTGTTCTTGTGAAGAGGGTAATGTTTATAGTAAAATAAAATAGTTGTTCTTGTACACAGGGTAGTGTTTATATTAAGTTAAAACAGTTGTTCTTGTACACAGGTTAGTGTTTATATTAAGTTAAAACAGTTGTTCTTGTACAGGTCAGTGTTTATATTAAGTTAAAACAGTTGTTCTTGTACAGGTCAGTGTTTATATTAAGTTAAAACAGTTGTTCTTGTACATATTACTCTTTGAGGGGTTGTGCTTTACCAAGTATTCTTTCTTCAAAATGAAAAGTACAGTAAATTAAAACAGTTGTTCTTGTATAGGTTAGTGTTTGAGATTAGCACAAAGTTAAAAGAAGTCTTCAGTTGACTGTGTATAATTGTTTTCCTGAATATTGTTTGCAGATATTTTTTATTCAACTTGAGTTCAAACTGCATGGATTATCCATGTTAAATATATATTGTAACTAACCTGTCTTATTGTTTTGGTCTAGTTAATATACAAACACAAATTTCAGATAAGTATTGCCATCATACCCATTGACTGTTTCATACTTCACATGAAACTTCCACATATTGTTTTGTATTTCTGCAGCTGTTGTACAAATATTTATGTTGAGAATGAATCTGAACAACCATATCTCTTCAGGTGGTTATGGGAAGAATCAATCACCTGACAGTGAGAGGAAGAAGAAAATAGCACATCCCACAGAAGCCCTGCAGAAGGACTGGAGGAACTATCAGTGCCACACTTGGCATTTGGAACCCACTGTTAGGTAAAGGTCTTTAGTTCGTCTGTTGTTGATGACAGAGGAACACTTGGGATTTTATAGGTTTTGTAAAAGTAGTTGTGGGCATGCACTTAGTTCACTGTTTCATTTGATGAGTAAGTGTTTTTTGTTGCATTTTTAATTCCCTTACATGAGAACCATTTGTTAAAGTAATTTTATTGTTATTTTGTAATTCACACATAGTTAAGACTTGTTAGGTTAATCGGTTTTTGTAACAAACTGTTTGGTAAGGGTATTTTGTTGCATAGCTAAAAGTGTTCTCTGATGCTTGAAATATATAATCTGGCAAAGATAAGTTGCTTTGTCCACTCATGTATTAAACCACTTCACTGGAGGGCTTGAGTTGTGTAAAGTTTCATAGCCCCTATGAGGTGGGTGGTCCGGGGCTACCAAAGTCTCTTATTTTGATTATCTGATGATGTCACATTGTATGTTGACAGAGAAAAGTAACTTAAATGTAACAGAATGACATGTCGCAAAGTAGGCTTGCGTAAACAATATAAATTGGTAAGATTGTGATAACTTATCTTTAAATTTACATATGTCTTTGGACATTCTACAACAGGGACATTTTCATAAAAGTTTCTAACAACAGGAGTGTTTCACAACAATTTCTTATGAGGAGAATGGCACTCTGGTTCACTCCCTCTCATCTTAAACCCTGTTTCCATGTACTACCTTCCTTAGTCTGCTCTTGTATCGAACCTTTTCCGTTTAGCTACCTTACTTAGTCTGCTCTTGTATCTAACCATTTCTGTGTACTACCTTACTTAGTCTGCTCTTGTATCTAACCATTTCCGTGTACTACCTTACTTAGTCTGCTCTTGTATCTAACCACTTCCGTGTACTACCTTACTTAGTCTGCTCTTCTATCTAACCATTTCCATTTAGCTACCTTACTTAGTCTGCTCTTGTATCTACACAGAAATGGTTTGATACAAGTGCAGACTAAGTAAGGTAGTACACGGAAATGGTTAGATACAAGAGCAGACTAAGTAAGGTAGTACACAGAAATGGTTAGATACAAGAGCAGACTAAGTAAGGTAGTACACAGAAATGGTTGGATACAAGAGCAGACTAAGTAAGGTAGCTAAATGGAAATGGTTAGATACAAGAGCAGACTAAGTAAGGTAGTACACAGAAATGGTTAGATACAAGAGCAGACTAAGTAAGGTAGTACACGGAAATGGTTAGATACAAGAGCAGACTAAGTAAGGTAGCTAAACGGAAATGGTTCCTTACTTAGTCTGCTCTTGTATCTAACCATTTCATTTCCATTTAGCTACCTTACTTAGTCTGCTCTTGTATCTAACCATTTCCGTTTAGCTACCTTACTTAGTCTGCTCTTGTATCTAACCATTTCCGTTTAGCTACCTTACTTAGTCTGCTCTTGTATCTAACCATTTCTGTGTACTACCTTACTTAGTCTGCTCTTGTATCTAACCATTT